ATTATTATACTCAAAAAAAAAACAAACAGAATATCTTTTAGTACTTTGTTTTTTTGTATCTGAAATGAGAAGTCATTATTATAAGAGTATAAAAATACCCGGAAAAAATAAGTATAAGAAAGGAAAGAAATCTTGATGATCATTTTAATAGAGGATTATATATATAAGTAATCTTGACTCAAGGCGACATCTAATTCTAATTGATATTTCTTATCCTAATGTTATTTATTAATATTATTTTTGAAGAATCCAAATAGATAAAAATAAATTTACATTGAATCAATTGTCATCGTTCAATTAAAAAGGTACTTTAACATCTTAAATGTTCAGGTTTAAGCAGATACAAAAAAATTAAAATAATTTCAAGTAATTTACTTCACATATGTATTTCTAGAACTCAGATGATTATCGTATACCATTATTCGAAAAAAAAAGTTATTCTTACAATTTATATGCTTGAATACTGTGTTTATTTATAAATAAAAGTTTAGCAATATTGCTTGTGGTTTGTTCATCACTGTATTATCAAGATCCATAGAAGTGGAACGAGTATACATTCTCATCCAATAAATGAAAGTTCTTGGTTATTGATTACGAAGGAACTATTCGAACTGTGACTTGTCATTTGATCCTACGAGAGAATTTTGATAAGCCTAGAAAAATACTAAAAGGATTCGTGCTCATTGATCTCTGGGACTGAATTATGATCGTTTTACTGAATTTTCAACCCATTGTTAAGTATTTATTGGAAAATCAAATAATAGAATTTCGATCTAAAGTTTTGTCCAATAGATAGATCTAATGATCCTTGTAATATCCTGGAAGTTTTAGCCGAAAAGAATATTCCTTTATCGAAATATTAAATTTCCGAATAAATTCGATTTTTACGACATATCTCTATGGCAAGCAACGATTTATTGGAAATTCAATATCTCTACAGATGAACATTCTTTTCAGCTGAAACTTAGAGAATGTTCCAAAGGTCTATCCGAGACGAACTCTTTTAGAATTTTTTTCTAATCGTATCGAGGACATCGTTGTTAGTTCAATATGAGTTTAAACAGCGGATTACAATTGGGGTAGATTACACAAGTTTTCTAATCTTGAAGTCGCTGCTTGAAATCTAAGTATTGTCAATGTATATCTGTAGTATATTTCAATGGACGTACACAGAATATAGGAGACAGATGACTTAACTTCTATCTCTACATGACAAATACATTGAAACCATTTATTTTTTGGCACATCATTTTGGATACATGTAAATTTACTCTATCTATTATTCAAAACTTAAGACCTATGTTTTTAGAAAAAAAAAAGAATCCCGAAAAATACAACTTTCTCTGCACTTTTTTAAAATACAGATTTCAATAAGAAAATTAGAGTTTTTCTTTCATGCGACCAATAGGATCCAAACTATTTTTTTTCAATAATTTCATCGAATTTCAGACTGTAGTCTATTTTTCTTTAAATGTTGTTCCTACAATGTTTAACAGTTTTTACAAAGTTAACATTATTGAAACGAAAAAAAAAATATTCATGTGACTATATCTGTAGTATTTCAGTTTTTCTGAATCTCAGGAGCAACATTTTCTGAAGAATTCCTAAAACACGCATGCAGTCGAAACAATGAACTATAGGTTTTTACTATAAGAAAAACTTCAGTGATTTTTATCCGTTGAAGTTTTCAATAATTCCAAGAACGAAGCATATGGAAGCATTGAGTCTATATCAACTTATATCCAACTCAATGAAATCTATGCACCGTAAAAGTTCTAAAAATTTTATTGAGTCGTTATCGAGAAAGACGGCAATTTTCTCACTGTGTAAGTTCAACATTCATTCAGCAATTATCTCGTCGTATACTCTGATTTCGTGATTTAGTATATAAAGACAATATCTGAAATTCTTGTTCTTTACTTCAATGCTCATCAACAAGTGTATCATCGTGCTATTTCTTACAAGGAAAAATAAGAGACAGTTGAAAATTATTGAATTTTGTTCATTTATTTTTGATTATAATGTTTACAAACAGTCAGAGATTTGAAGATATATGCATATTATGGAACTATTGTTAAATATAATTTATTATATCTTTGCTTTACTTTCCATAAACAACAAATTTAAATTCATAATGAAAATTAACAACAATTAAGATTGTTACCATAAAGTTAGCAGACAGGTTCTTTTGATTGTTCTAATCGATTACACAAATTCATAATTAAATTGAAAGAAGTCATATTTTGAATACTTCAATGAATTTTATTATGATTTTTAATCATTTAATTTGACTCCAAAAAATTCAAAATCACTCTTCTACATTCCATTTTTTTTATAATATATAATAAAAATGGAATGTATTTCTTTCTTTTCATTCATATTTACTTATAATCTTTTTCGTGAAACACGATCTAAAAGAAGTGTTGAAGTATAGTGGTAGAAATTTGAACTCTTCTCTTCTACAGATGAGAAAGACATTCTTAGCAACGTCTTTCTTTTATCGTAGACTATAACAGACTGTGTATTAATAAGGTCTATTTGTCAAATCTAAATTGCTTTCTAATTCTATTCCTCAAAAATTAAGTAAAATGATGATGAAGAAATATGTTTCAAAAATAAATAGAATAAAACAATCTTCCTGCAATTATCAACAGTATAACAATATTGTATTTAATATTTTAATCACGCATGGATTGTGCTAACAACTTTTTTGTTTGTTTGTAATATAAATCAACGATCATTTGATCTTTCAAATAGTTAATTCTCATCAAAATTTGATCTATTCTCTTTTAATCTATCTACATAATATCGAATGTCTGCTTTAGATTTAAATATAAAATGTTTAAGATTAAACTTTAGTATTGTTAGACATTTCTAGAACTTTCCGAAACATTTCAGAACATATTCTAGATGTTACAAGGTTTTTCTAGAACTTTCTCAAACAATCTACGAATGAATCTGTACTTACCGAAGATCAGAAATTTAAGCATATGTCATGCATAGAGCAACAGAACGCATGAAACCGAGCAATACATACAACAATACGTCACGCAGAGCATGTACGTCCTAGAGAAAGAGAGTATAAGATATGACATCGAGAAATAAACTACATATCGATATCCTCAACAGCTAAATAATAGTCTTCAAGTACGGACGCAATCGTGCAATTCGTACGAAGTCGATCGAATTAGTGCATATTGTCAATTTTACTAAGAAAATGAAAATTATCCTTAATATTGAATGAGAAATCGTCCGGTCTAAAAACTAGATATTGAACAATAAATAAAATCAATGTACTTAAGTCTAAAAGTAATTATAAAATGAGAATACTATAAACTTCTATTCATTGTCCCGTCTGTGTCTTATTTTGAACGTTATTTTATAGTACGAGAAATCGTTTATAAACAAATTTGTTAAATAGATGAAAAATGAATAAAATTTTATTCAACGAATTAAAATCATTTTTTCCTGTACTAAACAGACCAACACAATTAGAACAATAATGTTCGATATCCTATAAATCATTACAGGCAAAGAAAAGTTTCTTTTCAATCTAATCGACAATATTGTATCACTTACTTTAAGACTATCAATATAAAATGAAATAAGACAATAATCTAATAATTGGCATTAAAACCTACTAACTATAATAATAAATCTAGTTTCTTTTCAATTCATCGGACAATGATTTAGTTACAATCAAAACAAGTAAACCATGTTGCTCTACTGTATTACCATTAGAGAGCTGCAAGCCCATATTTTTGTAAACTCGGACCTAATAGAAGCTAAATTTTTGGATCTGATCGAGACTGGCTTTGAAAGGACTTCCAGCTCCCTAATCATCATAAACGATTATTTATATTTCTACATACATTGAATTACCGATTACGAACTGGTGTTCTGAGGAAACGACTTTTCTCGATTTCAGTTTCCCATTCTCTTGGTGCTTTCAGAATTGCTATTATAAATTCATTTTTTGTATTTGAGAAAAAAAAACTATGATCACCGAACACTAGCTTCTGCTGATGCCATACTTTGGACAATATGAGATGATTTTAAATTGAAAATAAAACTATCATTAGAGGTACATTTTAGTAAAATATATCAATTATTATTATTATTTATACGTCGAAATTTATCAATGTTAAGTTAAGAGAATTATTTCATTCATCAATTGAGTAATTAAAAAAAGAAAAAACAATACTGACACATTAATAACATCGATGAAAAAACGATAATATTCAACAGAAGACGATGATAATTACAAAGAATATAATAGTTATAATAATTGAATTATACTTTAATAAATAATAAATCAACTTGTTTAATTTTTGTTAATAGGTATTTGTTATTTTTCTTTTAATTAATAAATGATGCAAAAGTCTTTGGAAGAGAATAACAAAATCTATTTCTCAACAACACACTATTTTATTGACATCGACATTTTTTCTTTATAAGAATAATTTAGGAATGCTCATTTTTTTAATATCATTCCCGATAGAAACGGAAAAAGAAAAAATCGCTTTCACAGGACATTATTGTGGAGAGTAAGTTGCTTGACTTGAAAAGCGATTAAATTGGGTTTCTTTTGTTAATAAATAATAGTAATTCTTAACATAAAAGCAATGATATAGTTAACTATTTTTGTGTTAGATGCAGATAATACATTACTGTAGTGTATATTATATATTATGTTATTCAGCGTAAATTCTTTTTTCTATCAATTTTATTTATATTTTTTTTCAGCAGAAGATAATGAAAAAAATCCATTTTCTTTTTCTATTTCTTTCTTTCGTTATTTTTTGTTTTTTGATATTTACATTAAATGAATTGTTCTCATACCGAAAGAACTAATCGTTTCTATGTTTGCATTTACTTAAGTTTTGTTCAGCATTTTTGTCCTTAAAATAAACGCTCTACTCGATACTTTTTTGTTTTAATTAAAATATATTTGGAAAAGATAAAAAGCAAAAGAAATTCAAGTTCATTAGTTTTCATAATTATAGTGGTTTATGTATACCCAGAAGTGCACCACAGCTCGGACAATAATGTTGAGTATCCTACATATATCATAAAATAGAGTAGATATTTTATAAAAAAAAACAAAACAAAACATGATACAAACTTGGCAAGAATCAATGCAAAATGGTATCCAACAAAGAAACCATAAGAATACAAAGAAAAGAACGAGACAGATAATCCAAGTTAACGCGCCTGCTTTCTTTTGTGTTCGTGTGACAATCTGATTTCCACACTGAGGACATGTACATTGCGTTGGGTATTCACCTCTAATAATTACTGGAGTTGATATATATACTGGTTGTGACATTTTTGGTAATTGTTGTTGATAAGGATCTTGAACACCTGATGATCAATAAGATAAAACACCTAAAATGTAAGAAAATAGGGCGAAAATTTTATTTACTGTAGGGTGGTGGTGGTGCACTGCTCATGTTTATTTTCAAATTGTCTTCAAATTCTTTAAAGTATTGAAAATGAAAATCAAAAAAAAAAGTGCTTTAACTTATGTAGAGAGACACAATTATTAGTTGCCAATATAAAGTGTTGGTAACAACAGCAAAAATGATTGTTTGGTTAAAAAAAAAGAGTCAATAAAAAAATCACTTCTATTAAGAATCAAGAAAAGAAATAAAGGTAAAAGAATTTTTTCTTTATACTGACAAATTTTTATACATTTTTCATCCAATGATTGGAAGTATATCATTCGATGAATTTTTGTTGTTTATGTAATTATATAAAATAATGTTTAAGTAAACGATGATACCACTATATTTTTTTTTTCGAAAAAAAAGTCATTGAGAGAGAGAGAGAACTTCACCATATAAGAATGGTTATTTTTGTCGAACAGAAAGTATACATAAAATTATTAAACTAAAGAGTCGTCCGAAAATTTCGATCCGTCTCTGTAAATTAACACTATTCAAATAAATACATATGTAGATAGTTGACTGAAATATATAGTTTTGTAGAGAAAGATTAAACCTATAATCTGAAAAGAAAATAGTTTGAATTTCATTGACATCATGAAAAGTTATAGTTCTCTTATTAAACATGACTAAGAATTTTATATCTTACATTTTTCAGCACAAAACAAAAATATTCTTGTAATGTCGAAGTAATTAAAATTGAGCGAAATATTAATTTCTAGATATTTTTACATGATTTCATAGACTAAACAGACTAATAAAAATCTCACATGCATTGTACGAGATAGTAGATTTAACTTTCAATAACTTTATAGTTAATCGACTGATAATTAGGGGTGAGAAGTTACCGTTACCGTTCCCGGGTAACGGTAACGGGGCAGTTACCAGTTACCCGGGTAACTGGTAACGGGACAGTTACCAGTTACTTTTCAGGGTAACTTCTTTAAAACGACGAATTATGACTTCTTATGATCGAATTTTGTGAAAAAATTAATTTTTGAATTTCGGAGTTACCCGGGTAACTGGTAACGGGAAACCAGTTACCAGTTACCGGGTAACTCCGGAATTCAAAAATTAATCTATCGACGAAATTCGATCATAGCAAGTCATAATTCGTCGTTTTAAAGAAGTTACCCGGAAAAAGTAACTGGTAACGGGGCAGTTACCAGTTACCCGGGAACTGGTAACTTTTTCCGTAGCAACCGTTACCGTTACCGTTCCCGGGTAACGGTCTGGGAACGGTAACTTCCCACCCCTACTGATAATTGATGTTTTAAGATGTAGTATCATATATGAAAGTTGAAAATAACTTTTCCAAGTTGTTATATGAACAGACGGAATAGTAGATCAACTAAAATTATTAAAAATTCATTTTAGTCTCTCGGAATACTAGATACATGAAATTCTTTATTAATCTTTCTGATTTCTTGGAAGTTTTGTATTGGAATCAAGATCTGAATTTTTTGAATATTTATATTATCATAGAACTTGTCGAACTCTATGAAATCATATAAAAATTTCTGACAAAACAATATTTAGCGTCAGATCTTACAAGTATATTCTATTTTTACAAAAAATGTAACATGTAAAATGTTTAGTCATGATTAATAAAACAATCATAACTTTTCATAATGTCAATGAAATTCGAGCTATTTTCTTTTCACGTTATACTTTGAATCGTTCTCTACAAAACTGTATATTTCAGTCAATTATCTGTATGTGTATCCATCTAGATAACATTAATTTACAGACAGGAGCCGAAACTTTTGAGCCATCTTATTATAATCAATATTCATATAAATCGTCTTTTTTTCTCTTCTATCAATTAGTAATTATTTAGTTGCCTTGATTTAGCGTATATTAAAGGTTACAGATCAAAGACCTCTTAAGATTGCATTAAAGTTCCTACTGTTTTTCCCTTTGGAAATAATATCCTGGACGAAGAATAAAAAATCCATATATACTTTGAAACGATCTTATACGCTCTGTATTTCACTGCACACTACCGTATTTTCGTTTATTGTATGATTCAGCTTACGATCGTATTTCTCCATATGTGACATGGAGAAGTATGATCGTTTTACGGCAAGATACTGAGTAAAACAGAACTTGTATACTGTCATCGTATAAGACCTTCATAAACGATTGTATTTCTCTGTATTACATATGTAGAAATACGATTGTTATACTGAATCATGTAACACATCAATATATGATGATTTACAGTCGTTTACGAGTGTTTTTGTTCGATCTATGATGCTTTTAGAAATGATAATCATGATTATTAAACTATTGAATGGTTTAATTGATTGTTCCATGGTGTATACATAAAGATGTGATGTAATAATTATTAAGAGTTAGAGCGTTAATCTGGATATAAGATTATGATAAACTAAAATCACATTTTTTTTTGAATAATGAGATATTTTATTTCTTTTTGCAATAGAAATAGTGCAAATATAACTCATTGTTTTTTTTAAAGTAATTGTATTTATATATACTTAATTAGACAAGTGTAACATATTCAAAATCAGTTTCACATGATGTACCATTTAAAATGGTTCATTTGGGCTGAAATTTCCAGGAATCAGTAGCTCTAGTGAGAAACACTTATGTCAAACTAGACCAAACCTCCGGCTTATTTATAGTCTATTAATGGTCTTTAGGAAAATCCTTATAATTTCGTCATTACAAGAGTTACAGAGCTTGGGTGGTTTCAAATTAAGACCAATGCTTGTGAGCAGATTTTATTCGAACAAAATTTTGAAACTTACTTCCATTCATTTTTTATGATCATTTTAGTACATATGGTGTTAAAATAAGCAAAAAAAAGTCATTTCATGACACAAAATCTGACTTCTTTCAATATAGAAATCAACTATAAAAGCTCTTGTAGGACAAACGTTTACTCCCATTTAGATCTTTAAAATAATAAAAATACTGGTTATGTCTGAAACGTGATGCGAAGAGTTTCAATTTTTCTCATTGAAAACTAAATTCTGAGAAAAATGGTAAATAAGTTTAGACATGGAATTTTTCATTCAAGTCGAGAAAAAAAAACATATTAAAATGACATATTTATAATATTTATAAGTGGAATTTTTACAAGCATATAACAAATGACGTAAACTAACATCATCTAATGTATTTTAATTATATAAGAATATTAATCGAATGCTAATCCAAGTAACAAGGTAATCTTCTCAAAACTAGAAAACTTTAAAAAGAACCACGAAAACTTCTAAGAAAACACGATAGTGGGATGAGAATTTTTTCTAAAAAACATATTTATTTTGAGAGAGAAAATTTTGCTGCATCGCCCTATGATAAAAATTCAACTTCGATTTTTTTTTTCGAAAAAAAAAGATTTCCTAAGGAGTTCTCTTAATGCAGGTTTATATCTAAATGCATATCTGTATCATCCCTAGTGTCCTGCAATTGAGTCGAGCCCGGGTTTGAGATCATACTCGGGAATATATAACTATAACAGCATACTAATGAAAATAGGTTCAATCACAATCGAACAATTCATTGTATTTGAGAATAGATCATTGAAGTGAAAAGCGATATTATTTTATTAAGAGAATTCGTTTTTAATGAAAGTTCATCTACAGATGATGAGGAAGCATATGACGGAGTAGTTAAATAAATGGAAAGAAAAATAAATTGTCAAAATAGAGAAATTGGTTATATTTTAGAAACAGAAAGTCGTTTTAATTTTGCATATAAAGTAAAAATTTGAAAAATGTACTATGACTATGAAAGTATCTGTCAGATGTCGATTAGCTCCGATTGGGTACAAATATTCAGATCCGGTATGGATCTGTGTGTGAAAAATCGTACACGTGCAGAACACTAATCTCATTAGTCTAGGGTCAATTGAATCGACTCTTTTGTGTAAGAAGAAAATCAAAGTCATAATTTCTTTCAAAGGATATAAAATAAAACTCGACTGATGTCTCAAAAGATTGATATAGTATTTGTTTAGACAACTTATCATGAATAGTATTTCAAATCAAAAAAAAATATATGTATATATATTTATTTTAATTAATAATTTTGATTAAAAAAGAACAAAAAGAAACAAATATTTTAATGTCTTTATTGTTTTGACTAAAAAACATTTCGTCGACCAATTTGTGTATTACATAATGGACATATATGTACAGCATCTTGACATGCTGGAACACAGAAAGGAATGAGACAACAGCCAAGAAAACCACCAAACACACAAATAAGCAATGAAATGAGCCATGTACCACCACCAGGTTCATAGTCAACTCTTGTTACAATTTGTTGATGGCATGATGGACATTGTAGTGGTTGAGGATAATGACCTAACATTATTCCCCAAGGTCGAACAATTGTTGTCGTTTGAGTATATACGGGTATAGGGGGTGGTACACCTATCAATACAAAAAAAAAATTAGATTTCATGTATTGATACTTTATATTTTCATCTCACCATAGTTTGGTGGTGGTGGTGGTTGTTGTTGCTGATATGGCATTCTAAAATTTGTTGCATCACTTGATTGATATGGTGGTGGTTGTGTTCTTATATCATATGGTTGCGATTCATGCGCCATGTTGATATTATTACTTTATATTTCTTGTTTTACACTTGTTTTTATATTACAAACGTAAAAAGTTTTATCAGTATTGCTTATCTTATATTACTCATGTTACTGCCATTATTGTCATTGCTTTATTGTTGTATATATTATATAAAAGATAATATAAACTTATATTTTTTATATTTTATCTTTTAGTTTTATTAGACATATATTGTTGCTTTTTCTGACTACAAAAGTTTTTTTGAAATATTCAATAATTCTTTGTTATTATCTTATTTAATAATTGTAATTTCTTCGAGAATGATTCATAGTAATAAAGAATATTGAAATTATATAAAAGATTTACTTTATTTTATAATCATTGTTTCCTTGCCTATAGAACGATCGTAAAATAATTAGAAATTATTTTATAATATTAAATAAATGAGCGTATGAAAATGTTGTGTTTTTTAAGATAATTTGAACAAGGAAAATGAAAGTTACAACTACATTTAAAATTTTCATTCTAATGGCATAAAAAAGCTTGTTAACATAGCTTCTCTGGGACTAAATTGTAGAATTCGCATGAGTTTTCGCGCCTCATTTTACTAATATAAAATAAGTAAAGTGAAGAAAATCTTTAATAGACAATAGTTGTTTACCATGGATAATCTATCGCTAGGGAAACGATCTAGTTTATTTTATTATATTATTTCCTAAAGTTATAACTTGATCAGTTCATTCTTTTTATGTTGATCGTACGATGACTGAGGCAAAGTAATGGATTACTACCTAACATCCTTGACATGTTGAATATAAATTTTTATCTACAGAAAAGTCAGAAATTACATTATTTATAATATTCATAAACATATTCCAATGATTCTAAAGAGGAAGGGATCCGCAAGAATCTCAATTTAAGCTTACGTTCACTATCTTTTTCTGCAAAAAACATAATGTGAGTTTCACAAAACAAAAATGAAAGCTTGTATATGCAACAGTCGTCAATCAATTTATCAATCAAATCGTATCATCAACTTTTCTTCAATGTCTATCGTTATTGTTTCATAATAGTATAAATTTACAGATAGAAGAATTTTAATTAAAGATATATTTCGTTGACTTTGTCTTATGTATAAATTATTTAAAAAAAGTGATTATTGTGAAAGATGGTTACTAAAGAATGCGTCTGTTAAATTAAAGACACACGATTAATTTAGTAATGTAATCAGATGGAGACTAGCAGGTACTCAGACTTCCTCCTCACCCGAAACCAACGGTTGAATTCCACTTTAAAAAAAGGGACTCGAGTTTCTCTTCCCCTAGAACTCCTTTCTGGTAACGTCACTAGTTTGATATCCTGAGCATGTTGTTTAATAAGTAGCAATTTATAGATACAAGAAGATGATTGTGACACTGAGTATATCTCAAATATAATCATAGTTAATCATTAATAATTTATAATTTATTTAGCATCTGATGACAATTCATTAGATTGTTTTTATGTATTGATAAAATTTTTCAAAGATTCATTCTGGATTTTGAACAGATCAAAAATTCTATCTTCAATATTTAGTACTGTTTTCATATGTTTGTATGAGAATAAATATTAATTTCATACTTTGTTTTTGCTCGAAAGATTCTCTGATAAAATACGAAAAAAAAATCAGAAGATATAGATCGAAAACGATTAAGTTTTAGTAATAATTAAAGATAAAATCGAAACATCTGACTCTGTTAAGTTATGTAGCTGATTTTTTTTATCCTCATTTTTACATCAAATACAACCTCCTAATGTTTAAAATGACGGAGAAACGTAGGATGCATTAAAAACCTTTTCGTGAGAGAAACACAAACTCCGTTCCAACACTCTAACTCAAGATATTTTTCTCCATAAACTGATATAGCAAAAGATACTTCGAATAATTCATTATAGATCACCGATTAAAACGAATCAAATGAACGAGTCTTTAGTTCAGCCTCACTCTAGTTTTACTACTTCTGAAAGTTTGAAACATTCTGAATACAGTTTAAGTAAACTCTGATATGCTTCCGAAAGAATTACTGTCTTATGAATATTATTTGTATTGTCAACTTGAATAATAATAAGGAAAAATATACTGTTGACATGAATATTGACTTATGATGACCTCTACCAAGTTGGATTTAATTTGTTAAATATTATTTGACTTTTTTAATCATAGAATACGATAAATTGTTAAGAAATACAAAGAAAAATTAATTGTTTTTTTAAAATACTAAAAGTTTTAATACGATCTTATGACCTAATATGAGTCATTCAGTTATCTTTTATTTTTTCGCAATTGAATTGACTTCTTCATTTTGAGATATAAAAATTGAGTTATAGAATTATTCATTGTATATTCAAGAAACTAACGTAACTATAACATCGAATGATTTTCTCTCTTCTCCTCAACTTGTATTGTTTTTATTTGACATTGAAACAAATAGATGATCATATAAAATTACACCGATTCTTCTCATCTACTACATACGTAATGTAATACAATTGAGATGCTCATACATATATATTTTTTTTATTAATTAAAAAAAGATTAATAGAATTTTTTTTTATATAAGATAGTAGTGGTTTTAGATGGCAGATAGGTTTGATAATTGTTAGGCAAAAAATTTTCTATCATTTATCTTGTAACAAAATTTGTTTAGTTCTGTTTCATGCGACACAATTTTATTTTGTATCACGCAATATCAGGATGTCATTCATACTTATCTTTAATGTTTAGCAATAATTACTAGTTATAAAACTCTTTAATTGTATAGAAAAAAAAAAATATATATATATATTTGATATTCTTTTTCTAGATATTTCCTTTTATTTATCAATGTCAATTGATACTAGTGATTCATTAAAAACAACAAATATAACAATAAACAAATCAGATGTAAATTTTAATAATTATAAGAGATAATTATAAATATTTTATAATAGGAATTAATACATCGAACGAAAGAAATAAAACAATCATTGATTATTTGGCGTAATATTTTATTACCAATAAATAATTTACTTGAATGGAAACATAAATATGATTCATTGATTATTTTTGGAATAATAACTTTAATTTTTTTGTAAGATTAATTTTTATATTCAACTGAATACAAAAAATTTTTTAATTTTAGTATTATTCTTCAAATAAATCCACCTATACTTACTCTTATCAGTTGTATTATTCTAACAATAGTACTTATTGATATATTGGCACCAGTTGGTATTCAGATTATATTTAAAAATGAGAATTGGTAAATTTGAATTTATATATATATCTTTAGAAATTTTATTTTAAGGACATCAATTAAAGAAACTAAATATACAAGATTATGTGAACGTATTGCACATCTTGAACAACATATTAAACATCAATGTGAATTAATTTTAAAAATGCGTAAAGAACGATCATTAATGGTATGACTTTTAAAAATCTTCTATTGAAATTTATTATAAATTATTTATTTAGTATTTAATAATTGGTAGTATATTTCTTTGTTTTATTGCTTTTTGTTGTCAAAAGATTGATAATCTTCTACTTAGTTATTTAATAAGTAAAATTTAATAATTATTTTCAAAATGAAATAATAAAAATTATATTCGAATTTTTTCTTTTTTCTTATTATAATTTAGCTCTTATTATTTGTCTAACACCTGGTATACGTAATCGACAATTAATATCATTAATTCGTCAATATATAAATGAATGTTGGAATAATAAAAAAATAATTTTATCGTATACAAATCAAGAGAAAAGAATTCAATAAAATTAATCATATTAAAAAAGCAATGTTCTTTTTATTTTTATTTTTTTGTTTCATTACAATGAATGAAATGATTCTAAATGTAAAGATTGTATGTATTTAAAAAAGAAAATTTGATTGAAAGTTTATTGACAAAGCTTTATTTTTTTTCTTTTTTTATTCAATAAAAAAATAAAACCTATAGCTATTGTGTGCAAATAGAAAATAATCGAACTGATCAATGGGTAATATATCAAAAGAATAATACTCCTCACTTCAATCATGAAAAATTTTCGTTTTTCTTCAATGGAACGAAAAATTTTTCTTGTATTTCGTTAGAAACGAAATTTTAGTCCTCCGAAGAAAATTGTAATCTTTCCTCTATCAATGTCGATTGCCTTAGACTATAGCTGGAACTAACAATTGAAAGTATTTATATAAATCCTCACTTGAGTTTCGTTTTGTAGTTATGTCATTATCATTATTAATAATACTTGTTCTTGCATATGTGAACAAATATTAATCATAAAAAAAAAGTCAGTTGAATCTGAAACCAAATTTAACATATGTTTTTTCAAATAAATAATGAATCTATTCAGGATCAATCAAAAAAATTTAAACAAACAGTATCATTACTAAGCTTTATTGCTTGGTGAATACTTTTTAAATGGTATACAGTTTGGTATTTGTTGTCAAACAAATCAATGATAATTATTCCTTTTATTTTCTTTTTTGTACATGCATTTCAATAAAGAAAATTTGATACGAACTGATTTTTTATTTAGAAAGTCTTTATCATTGATAATAGATTATTGAAATTATACAATGAATGTTATTTGAAAAACAAATTAGATAACTATTATTTAATGAATAAAATATCGAAATTCGAAAATTTATTCTTATTAATTTTTATAAAACTTCGTTGATAGTTTTAGATATTTTTCTATACTTTATGTTGTCTATAGTTTTTTAAAATTTTGCAATGACTATGATTAAAAACTATTAGTACAAATAAGAAACTAATCTTCGTATTGATATTTCGTTCTGTTCTTTTTCGCACAATATTATTTTTAAACATATTAATCATGAGATAATAGACATAGATGGTAACAGCTGCTTACACAGTTTCCCTCGATCTAATAATTTAGAAAATATTTCAGAAATTATTAAATATATTGATGACTAAAGAATATGTATTGATACATATTATCATACATTATTCTTACTCGAAAGTCATTTAACATTTAGAAATTAGCTATTCAAGGACAAGAAGGCAATTCATGGAAATTGTTTTGTCTATAGGACAAAAAAAGTGAAGGTGGGCTTCTTTTGAATGTATTACACATGATAAGGATACAAATGAACACTTTGTGTTTATATCATTCATGGTAAAGGATGTCAGAAAGAATCTGCTGATCATACTGCACACAGTGAATGAAGTTGATATATTTCATTACTTTAAATTCTATGGAAGTTTAGATGCTTAAGTCTTTCAATTTTCTATGATTCTTGAATTATTCATTTCTAAATGATGAATATATCTCTTCTTACTAACCTATTCAAATAATATATTATGAATAAGTTAAAGATTTTTGATTCGAACTCAAATGAATTATCAATGCGGTTTTTTGTTTGTTGCCTTTGATTCAATATTTAAGAAATCAACCAAAGATTTTTGAAGAATAAAAAAAAAGCCATCGACAAATAAAAACAATCTGTATGAATCAATCATGAAAATTTCGTCTTTCTAGAAACACAATCATCGAGCTTAGTAAGGAACAAATTAATATCAATGATTCAAATATCATACTAATCCTTTGACGTCGTTTATATTCATTTTTTTCGTTATTCCTCGATATACACTTACATATATATATATATATATATATTCAAACTTCAATTTAGTTATTTTATCTTTCTTTCGTTTCCTCTCAGTAATCATCTGGACGGATAGTGTTACTATCTTACCATTTATTTTCTTTTTTACTTTGCGTTTTAGTCTCATCTGGTTTTTATTCTCATATTTCGTTTTCTTTTTCAACTTTCTAAATAATCATGGCCACATATTTTGATCTTATCGTTCGACCAAATGATTCGATTAAATCGAAAACTACAGGAAATTTTCTTAAATTATCAAATCCACCCGATGATTTAAAAGTTCCTAATGATTGGGATGTTAAACCAGGTGATGTACTTTCATGGAGTACTTATAGAACAACAGAAACTTATTTGTATGTTCTATTTGAATTAGAATATTTTGTTTTTTTTTTTTGGTCAATAAATAATATTTTTTGTTTTCTTATTAGTATTACAAATGAAAATACACTTTTAAAAAATCCAGATACATCTGGTGCTGGTTATTTAACAATTCCACTTTCAATTAGTTCATTATTTCTTGATGCTGTTAATTATTTTTCTTCTGTTTTAAATTCTATTGGTCGTAATAATGTTACATCAATTGAACTAGCACCAACAGATTTATTTTTTATTTCATATTTTTCAAATGAACCATTTCCAACATCAATTATAAAACGTAATGATATAACATATTCATTTGATCCAAATGATGAAATACTTTATGTTATAATGTCATCAAATTCTAATCAATATCAATATTTTCCATTGAATACAACTAAAATGGATGATATTATTGAATGGATTTTAATAGCAAGTGAACCAAAAATTAAATTAAATGTTACATTTAATTTTTAAAGGTAAGAATATATGTTATAAAATTCGTCGAAATATTATTATTGGATTATCTATTGGATGGTAATGTGAACAAAAAAAAAAGGTGTATTAATGTATATTGAAAATAAAATTCAAGGTGAATGGATATGTGAAGGACTAGAATAAAAAAAAAACAAAAGATAATGCATGAAAAACTATTGAAATTTTTTTATAAAGGATTAAATATCGAAATTATATAATTTTATTTTTAGATTAAAGAAAAAAAGAAAAGAAATTTTTAAATATTATGGCTTTAGCAAGTATTATAAATGATCGAACAGCTCGATATTTTGATTTAATTAATAAACCTGAAACATTAAAAGGAACCGATGGTCTTCCAATAGCTGATTCAGAATATAAAAATTTACCAAGTAAAGGAACAATTATTCCAGCTACTTGGGATGTTAGTTTTGGTGATGTACTTAATTGGTCAAAAGGGCGTCCAACTGATGCTTATTTTGTTATGGAAAATCGAACATTATTAAAAAATCCTGATCGTACTGGATCAGGTTATTTAACAATTCCATTTATTATGACTAGTAAATCAAATTTTTATAATTTTTTTTTTTTTGCTTTTCATTTTGTTATTTTTTATTTTACTTTTGTTTAGAAGATACTCGAAATGCTTTACTTAAATATGAATATGTTATAAATGGTATTGGTAAAGATTATGTATCAACAGTTGAAATGCGTCCTGATGATGTATTTATTGTAAAAAATTGGGGTCAAGTACCTAATGAAATGCAATCACGTAATGTGGAATTTATTTATGATCCACTTGAAGAATTTCTTTATGTAAATATTCCATATACATCAAAATCAAAAGAATTTAAATTAGGTTCAACAACAATGAAAGATATTGAAACATGGTTTTTTGGGTAATAAAATATAGAAATATTTTGATTGATATCTTTTTTTTTTAATTTTATTTTTTAGTGCATTAGAAGATCAAGCTTCTTTTCGAATTAAATATGATTTTTCAGGTCCACAATATCAAAAATATCATGATTTATATCGATTACATGAAGAAAATTTTTCATTACCAAAAACATGGACTGCTGAACCTGGTACAACAATTGTAGGTCAAGATAATGTTCGTGGTGAATGGATTTTTCATGGTTTGTTTCTTTATTTTATCTCATTTTTGAATTATAATTTTAATTTTTAGGTGATAATAAACATTTGAATGAAGCAAAAAAGAATGTACAAGAATTTTATAAAGATCTTGTTATTATCATGGAAGATATACCACAAAAAACAGTTACAATTGTTTAATAGATTTTTGACTGAATAATTTATCTTTTATCTATTATAATCAAGCTGTTTTTTAGTCAGTTTTTGAAATATTTTATTCATGATAAATTAGAAAATTTTGAAAAAAAAAAAAAGATCAAGAATTGCGTTATAGATTGATTTTATTTATTATCAAATATTTTTCTTTTACAGAAAAATTTAACAAAATCTAGAAATATATTCTTAGATTTAATTTTTATAAATACAATCACTATTGTTTGAATTAATGAAAAATTCATTATGTAATTTAGCACATAAGCTTTGATGTCAAATAATTGACATAAAAATTAATTTGTTTAATTATATAATTTATCATAATCTTTCTATTAATTTTGTTCATCGATGTTGTCTTTTCTATTTATTTATCACTATCACAATTTGATGTAGTTGATGAACCTGATAATACTTCTTCAAATCCTTGAGCATCATCATTGACATATTGAAATAATCCGTTTTCCATTGTTCGTATTTGTGTTAATAGTTCAAATAAATTTTTTTTTCCAATGTTAAATGTCTACTTGCACTCGTCTTATATAGCATTTCTATGACACTACTCTTTCTCTTTGTTTATCTTCATGAAACCATACCTGACTTTTATTAAACAATCGGATGACTCAATGTTATGTTTATAGGCGAATGTTAGAAAAACGAGTCGTTGTCAACCAGACATTTGACCTTCAATAATAAATGTGAAAAATTAACTAATACTGACATATAAAATAATTTGATAAACATATAATGAACATTTGTTTAATGATATTATTTTTTGATTCATTTGATTAGTTGGAATATAATTGAGATCTGGAAACTGAAATCTTTTTTTTTATAGAATTGCGATCTTGAATAAAATGCATTCAGAACAATGTGAATGAGTACTTTATGAAATTTAATTGTACAAAAAACAAACCTGGAAAGATTTACATACATCTTCTTTGTTAATGTTTGTTTTGGTTGACACTAGACATCCATAATATTTAAATTTCTTTATAGAACAACAAAATTTGACTTTCTATAGAAACAAAGAATGAAAAAAGTGTTCAGAGAAAAGATTATCTTGAATTCATTGATAATGATCGAAATGTAATTTGCTAGAAAATCTATTTCTATTTGTAATGAATGTTTTACATTTATAATTAATGTATTGCAACATGATATTTTATAATCTTTATTCTTTCGAAAAGTATAGCTAGAATATATTGATTTGTTGAAAATTGTTTATTATCATACTGTAAACAATCATTCTCAAATAAATTAAGTCAGTTTTTCTCTTCGAACTTTTATTTCATATTCATTCTTTTCTTTCTTTTTTTTTGTTTTGAAGAAATCATATTTTGCTGTTCTGTAAAGAAACCTACTAATTATTATAATTATCCTACATATCAGTGAAAGCAAACATTAACAAATAATAAATATGTAAATTTTCACACTTTTGTTGCTGCGTAGAATTGAATTTTAATGAAAAAAAAATAGTTTAGATTGATTTGAATGAATATCATGCGTAGTTTTATATCATATTCATGATATGCAACTGACGAAAACATATTCTGATGATTATTCGTTTTCTCTTTTGAACTTTCTCGAATTAAAATTCGATTCCGTATGATAAAATGAATATTTCTTATTTAGATATTACTAAATGATAATTATCTTTAAGCACATTTAAATGTCACAGAGAGATATTAGCAAAAATAAATTAAAATTAAAAATAATATTTTTATATTTTAATTATAGATAAAATTTAATTTTTTTCGACAAATATCTAATGTTTATTTTTTTTTTAAATTATCGTTAAATGCATAATCATCTTTAACAATTACACTGGAAAAATCATTTTCAATGAATTTTTTAAGAAGATTTAAGTGCATATGTTGATAGTGAGTATTTCATTATTTTATTGCACTGCCAAAATTGAATTGATGATTAAGAGAATGATGTTTCTGTAGGCAACGAAAATGTCAGAGCGAATTATTTATTATAAAATTTTATGTTGTTTTGCTGGAGATGACATTGATCGACAATTTTTAAATTATTGAATATAAATTGTTAGAAAAAGTTATTAAGTGATTTCGTCAACAGTAAAGGCATTAAGTTGTTAATGAGATTTAAAGTTTTAGAAGCGATCAAATTATTCATCTTTTGAAAGAAAAACGTGAAATAATATTGTTTCATTTTATACAATACAGAATGTAATAAAAATGCTATTTATGATACGTACAAAATCAAAACTTTGTCTTTTCTGAAAACTTCAAGTTTGACAAACGATAAACAATAAAAAATGAAAATATCTTAGAAAAACTTTTTCCATCGACATGCGTTTTTTGAGAAATGATCATATGAGAAGCTAATTTTTATTACCTTATGATTATATAAATTAAATTATAACTGAAAAAAAAGGAGATTTTAAAATTTTATTATCTCTATGAATTTTTCTAATGAAATATTTTTTAATTTATTAATATTTTCTGCAAAATGTCATGAACTTAAACTATAATATTTAAGATCTTTTTCGACAAGAATGCAACCAATCAGGCCACATATTTTTGCTACAGATAGAATACCTAAAATAAGTAGAGACATGTTCGAGAAAAAAAATTTCAAAGAAGGTTTTTGCAAAGTAACGCTAATTTTCCATGGGATCGCATCCTAGTGCATTACGACCTTCATTAAATTTTGTCCGATTGAATTGAAAATTTTTTGAAAGTATTTATGCCTATATCACATAGGTATTTTTGAGCTTTTTCAGAAATCTTACTATCTGTCTTCTTTATGAAAAAAATATGTGAAACTTTGGGATTAACATCGGACTTTTAGAATCCAATAAATTCGGGCACAAAATTCAAAAATGAAAGCAGTTGATTCTATCTCTGGAGAATATTTTCAAGTATCTATGGTAAAAGATCTCAGCCTAATTGGTTGTATTCTTTTTGAGAACTAGAAGTAGTCAAAACATACGAGGAATACTCTTAGTTGCGATCATTATACATAGAAAAGTTGAGATTTCTGAGTTTTTACACCTCATGGTGTTTGGAGTTTTAGTGAAAAACAAATAATATAAGATAGAGATATGCCATAATAAACTCGAGATAATTTCTATCTAGTTAATCATGAATAAAAATAGAAGCAAGGTAGTCATAGAGACATTGTCAAGGAAGACTAATTCTGCTAGTCAATAAACATTTAACTATATTCTCTATAGGCAATATCGAAATACCAAGTTATACATTATAAGGATCAGTAATGTATTCTAAGGATTTCTAATGAAATGGTAAGTATCTTACTACAAAAATAACAAGTTAAATACACAGAAATCATGAACGTACTATATTCATGACGTGTATCTAATTTTCCTCTTCAAAATTAAAATTTCTTCGTAGTTTAATTTTCAAGAAAATATCAACATATTTGTATAGTAATTCAATAAAAAGAAAAATAATTATGTAAGCAAATAGGAAACAAAAGAAGAATAGAGAAAGATACAACAACTCTTAATTCTGAAAGAAATAGTTAATTCATATTAATAATTATCATCCGTATCTCAACAGCATGAAAACTCTTTCCATTCATGTTTGATATTGCAAGCATACCGTAGTCGGATAATCATTTAACTAAGTTTACTTGATGGTTCTTCTTGATTATTGTGAGTTTATCCACTCTAAGCATCGATCAAGTGGCATTGTATATTTCTGATATTGGCAAAAGCACCATACTACTGGATAATGATTCATCGCCTGATTGTTCTCTTCTCGAGTTGTGACATTTTTTTTTTTTACTGAGTCTTTGAATTAGTACATGTTATTATGCAATGAATGCGCACATTTTAGCAAAGATTTCGAAAAATTTAGTTTTCTTGTAAATTTTTCATCTTCGTGGGAACTTTCAGTGTATGAGACAGGAGGCATAAGAACTCTTCACAAGCAAAATTTTAGACCTACATTGGATTTTTCATGAAATAACATGCATTAAGTTAAAAATTCAGCAGAAAACAATTAGTTATGACCAGCCATCGATAACCTACATATGAAAAGAACTCGAACTCAAGAATAAAAAAAGAAGGTCATTCTACCAAATATAAAAAAACATGATCGATAATATGTGAAATTAAAGTCTTTATATTATTGAGCAGTCTTAAATATTTTAGATACGTAAAATCTTTCTTAGAGTGACTAACTCGATAGTTAGTGTAAAACAAAGTAGTATATTAGGATTCACGCTCTCAACGAGTGACAAACACAATTAAAGATCTGCGCATATTCTTCTTTCTCTGTTTATTATTTTAAATACGAATATTTATATATACGAATATGAAACAATAACAAAAATAGAAAAGAATGCAAAGGTTAATCGAGGTCAAAGAAAAGAAAATAACAAAAACGAAATGATGATATCAAATATATATCAGACGAATAAAGAAATGATCTAAAGCAAGAAAATAAAGAAGATCGAGGTATATGTTATAACAATGCACTGTAACACACTGGTATACATTTTGATATATATATATAGGTGAATCGGTAGAGAAAAAAAAATTCTTTAATTAAATATTAATCGATGGAATATACGAAGTGCTCTTTCAACCTATAATTTCCATACAAATATTAGATATCTACAAATTAAGATAATGCGTTGACATAAATCATTTATATTTTTGGACATATTCCATGACAAAACTTGCTTATATTACTAAGTTTAGAAACAAAAATAATACTTTCACATAGAAATCAATGAACTCTATCAAACATATCCATTCTGAGCGTAGTTTGATTTAATTTTCTTTTAGAAGTACTGTATTACAGAATTCTATTCGTATCCGAAAATCTCGGTACTTATAAATTATTGAAAAAGTTGAAATTTTTTTTCCCTGGATTCTAGTGAAAAAGACATTATTTGATGTAGAAAAATTCGATACTGATTGCTTCAACTGTGATTTTCGGGATAAGGATAAAATTCTGTAATACTCAGTATTTTTTTTGAATAAATCCGCT